CATCTCCTGGCTCTAGCTCCATACGTGACACAGAAGAGAGAGCAAATAAATATATTTCCCAAAATGTTGTGCTACTTCTTTTTATGTTTTTCATGAACATTTGACAATTTAGGAGGAAGTGGATGATAAAATTTTGATATATCAATACAACTGTTGCACCAGGAGTGTTTTCCTGAAAGTAAAATCCCCTCTCTATGTCATCCGTACTTTGATTAGAGCAGTATTTCAAACACAAGAGACGTATTTTAAGACAGATGCCAGTTTTAAATTCTTATCTGACACTAATGAGGTCCTTAATGGCTCTAACACTTGGCACAAAACGTAGAGGAAAATGAAAAGCAGCCTGCGGAGGAAAGCAGATCAGACTTTGGGAATATGGGAAGAATTGGTTCCTTGATACAGACAATTAGTGCAAGCAACAGAAAAACGTGAGGCTCTGTAAGGGGCGTTTAGAGCTTGAGGAGCTTTATAATGAGAAATAATTACACACATACATCCACACACAGGAAGTAAGCACTAACACTTCAGCTGTACAGTGTCACCCACCCTCCCTTGCATTAACTTAATGAGGAAGGAGACTGTTGAAAACCTCTATGTGTCTATAGCTCAACAAAAATAGACTTTATTAAAGCCAATGCTGCCAGATCAGACAGTATCTAATCAATATTTCTTGTACAGGCTTTTTCACAGGCAAGTTTCAAATTAAAGTTCCTATTTCACTGTACTATAGTCGTGTGCCTCACGCATGGATGGAGGGAAGGTCACTAATTTTTGCATCTCTTTTGAAGCATCGTTGATGACAATACTGAGCCTTAAATTCTGCAACCATGAAATTTGAATGTAATAAGCATCTTTGTCCTAGAGGAACACCCAAAAAATATTCCTCATGTCCTAATTCATATTTACACTGACACTGAAGTGTTTACTAATTCCTATGTATGGTGGCCCTGAGGTGCAAAACACAACATTACAGAAAACAATGAATTTATTTCAGGAAACAACAACAACATAACACAACATATTGTATGATTCTCCTTCATAAAATAAGTAACGCTGGTTTTGATTATTTTACACGTGTAATGCCTTCATACACAAATCAAAGGTTTGGCAGTGAGTAAAAACCTTTTGCTACAGTATACACAACAATCTAGTTGCACTTAGTTTTGGACAGAAACTCTAAAGCTACTAAAGTGGCATCACTTTCTTTTGAACAAGGCTGCTAGGGGCACTGTCACAAAAGTGAATCTCTCAACTCTGTTTTTTTTTCAGTGGGACTGAACCATGTGAGAGACTGTAAATGCAGTGCGACCACCAGCGCAAGGTGAACACAAAAGAACAATTTTCTGTACTTTCGTCTTTGTAAAGCTACTGTATCAGAGAGTGACACCATTGGCATCCAATGAGACTTACAAATAACAGCAAAAAATCAGCAGGTACTTCTAGTTTTAAAATTCAGAAAACGTTCAGAAATTGTTTATGATGTGTTATGTAAGGGTCACCAGACCGAGCCAGTTACTCAGACTGGACTTTCCTTTCATTACATGTAGATTACTAGATTATTCAGTCTCATGTACAGTATTTTCACTATTCTCACAATAACATGCTTATGTAACATTTTGTTAGTAACACGGCTGCCTTTACAATTTGCTAATTTGATATTTTACACTTTCACACAAACACACACACACGCACACACTGGCGAGCTATCATGCAGTAGGGAGGTTCAGTGTCTCGTCCAAGGAGACCTAGACATGTGGGCAGGAGAAGCTAGAGATCGAGCCACTAACTGCCAACCCTGAGATTCGACATGCTCTGCTTACCTCTGCCGTACCTTCCAATGTCTACTTTCTATTTAATTGTGGCTGTATTTTCCAAACTATGCAGTTGTCAAGCCACGCCAAGCTCTCAGCTATTTCTATTTCATTTTTAATTTAGGAAATCAGGGAAATCAACAATCTGCCCCCTTTCACCGCCAATGGGGCCAACTGATAAATTATGATGATAAAAACTTTTTCCTAAATCTGTGTGGAGTGTCTGCAAAAAAAAGGAACCCCTTCAATGCATAGCTTTCTGATTTTAGAGCTGTAATTTTTGTCAATCAATTTGAAACAAGCATCAATGATTTCATCCTTGATTTGTTTGGATCCTGGCTCTGGTTCTTTCTAGCTGATGTTGCCAACCTATAGACCTACAAATTCTTACAAAGGCATCGATTTCCTCGTGGCAAACTGCTATTCAAGAAAGCAGCACCAGGCCTTTGAACCTCTCAGCAAAATGACATGTGTAGCAATCTGGAAACAGACTACACTGTATGCAATAGTCATGTCCCCTGGTTCATGGCCTCTGGTGAACTGTGCTTCTCTCTGGAATCAATAACCAACCTGACACCTGATGGTGAGAGGGATAGTTTGACAAATATACACAGCTAAATCTACTGGTCTTTACACACATACACACACACACACACACACACACACACACACACAAAGACAGAGACACAAGTTCACATCATCAATGCACATCCATAGTCGCTGTGGAAACCATTCAAACCAGTGTAGATGCTCTCCAAATTATTTAAAGGGTTTGTGTCTATCTGAGAGTACAACAGGGAGAGAGTGAGGCAGTGTGTTATTTGTGTGGTTGCATTGTGGCTCACTGTGGGGGTGTGATACTGCAGGTTGCTGGCAGACTCTCTACTGCACAGAAAACAGTGAAGCGCAAGAGCAACTGATGGAAGGCCTTCGCTCACTTTATCCCACCAAACACTCGCACAGGGATTAAAACCCAGGATCATACTGAACTCTGAAAATTTAGGATCTACACAGCCACACCACACACACACACCACCAACACACACACACACACACACACAGCCTCACGAGCCAGGCGAAATGTCATAGTTACTTGGTTTATTCCTCCTGTGTGCATGGCTATGTAGTTAAACAGCTACACAGCACACAAGGTTTCAGCTGAGGGCAGATTGAAAATAACCCTAATTAAACATCACAGCTGTAGTGTGAGAGTGAGACAGGTGGAGGAGAGAGAGTGAGACAGGCGGTGTGAGTGTGTAACAAGAGAGGAGAAAATAAGACATCATAACTGCCAAACTCTGTAACATCAGAGGAGACAGGTTTTACGCTTACATCAGTGCCAATATTAGCGGTTGGAACCATATTATGTAATTTTCATCATCATTAATAACAACTCAGAAATGAAGACATAATCTTTCTGCTTTATGTATGACTTGATTTAAACCACACCCCTATTAACCACACCATGTCCTTGCTTTCCTTAAGCCCCTTCCCTATTTGCATACATCTGGAATGAATTGTCTTTACACATACTGTACATTTAAAGAGATATGAATCTACTGTATAAGTAGGTGGGAATCTGTGGAGATGAAAATGTTCTGAGTGATGATGATGATTGGTGGCTATTTCTGACCTCTCTTATGATTAATTGTGCATCCACTTAGTGTCTCCTTAATACTCGCTCAAACTGTAAAAAGTCAATGCTCTCCAGTGTACCCCTCCCCCTGCATTTTGGTGGGCATGGTGCCTGTGCACACACACACATGCACACAGTCCCTGAGGCCAGCAAAAAACTGGGATCAGAAACAGAAATCATTCTGTTTTCTCTGTGACTGTACTTTCATGAAGTAAAGGAAAGGGTTGTTGTATTTTCTAACTGTAAGAAGATTGGCTGTTTGATTGTTATAATAATAAGTATTGATGATATACTTGTGACCATCCAATATTTTTTTCTCAATGAAATTCATGTGCAAATGGTAATTCAAATGTTTCCTAGCAACAAGATCGACCTAACTGTTGGAGCAACAATACTGAGGCAACTTCCAGGAGCTCAGTCACCAACAGATTTGCCTAAAATATTTCCCTTCCTTTTACTGCTTTGAAATCATGACGCCTTAACCCTGTGTCAGCACAGCAGGATTCAGCAGTGGGTCTGTGATTATAAGTTAAAGTTGCATGCATTGCAGAGCTTCATTTAAAATAGCAGTTCAGATCTCAAGGTTTCTAAAGACACTGTGTCACACTGCAGTGTGTGCAAATATGAAGCACAAGACATCTAGAATATTAATGTTACGGCTGTAAAGCATAGCATCCTGGGAATGAATATTTAATTAAATGTAAACATAATAGAGATTTATTGCAGTGCTGGATGAAGAAAGTATAAAAATATACATGTGATACATGTGGTAGAATGAAAATCTTTATAGCATTCATTGGGTTAAATACAAGAACCTGTTGCTTCCCCCTGTCAGGGCTACAAAGAAACTTCAACCTTCTTTGATTAATTTGCATGCACAAAGCGGTGTTCGGAACTTAATTGTCTTTATGATGAAAATGTGACGGACTATTAGGTTCACACTCAACAGGTCACAAATCAAGCTTATTTTGTTGTTGAAGCCAGCAAATTTCATGACCAGAAGAGAAAAAAACTGGTCCAAATAGCTGAGACAGTTTGTTTTGAATTGGAAAAAAAAGACATGTGAGAAATCACTGCTCCCACCAGCCTGTTCCCATTTGCACAATCTCTGGGGGATGGTCACCTGCTCAAGATGCACTTGAAGCTCTTGGCACTGCAGGGCTTGTTGAAAGTGTGGAGAGCAGAGAGGCTGAGCTGCTGCAGCCACTTCAGTCCGGTGCTGCATGAGCCACTTTCTCTTTTTACATGGGCGTCAGTTTGAGTGTGATGGAACTATTTGATCTTGTGGTTTTCATTATTGTGAGCAATAATCAATATAAATCTACGTGGAGACCATTATCTAAATAACACAACATATAAGCTTCCAGAAATGTACAGTGTGTCTGTTAAGTGTTACCATACAACCAGCGACTGCACCACTTTCTCCCCATCATGCTGTCAGTGGGCTTTGAGCAGCTTTCAGGAAGTTGTACCAGCAGATAAGAAACCATGTGTGAACTTTGATCCGAGTTTAGTACTCAGACATCCCCTCCTGCTTTGTTTAAACCTCTCACCTGTTTCTCCAACGCTTCCTTCCCGGTGGTGGACATCTTGGGCGCCGGCGCGCGCTCGCAGGTGCATCCTTCCAACAGGTAAATCCCGGCTGGTCGCGCGCTCTGCTCGTTCTCGAAGTAGAACAGTACATTCTGGTAAAGAGCGAAGAACTTCTCGTGCCATCGGCTGTTCTCCGCCGTCTTCTTGCTCAGGTAGCCGCGCTTCGTCCCCTCTTTACGCGCGACCACCGACAGAAACAGCGCGTGCCCTTCGTTGTAGCGGACGCTCTTCTGCATTTTTGTTGTACGGCTTGGAAGAGAGAAGACAGTGGAGGGGGAGAGCGGGAGGAGGGAATGTGAGCTTTCACCGTGAGCCCATGGTCGCCGGGGGTCGCGTGTAAACTTTCCCACCGAGAGACGCGCGGCTCAGCGGCGCCGTGGCGCACGGAAAAGTTGCCCCTCCGACGGGAGCGCTTCTGTAGATGAACTCATAGTAAAGATGTCCGAGTCCCAAGAGCACTAGAATTAATCCATACTGCTCGCAGAAAAAAAAAGAAAAAAATAAGCGCGCTTCTATAAATAAACAACAACTAACAAGCAGGAGAAAGCGAGAGGCGTGTCGTTCACAAAGGGGAGAACCCTCAAGTGGACAGACAGTGGCAGAATCACAGACCCGATAAACTGTAATCGGCTTTGACAGTGGTTAACTCTCTCTCTCTTTCGCACACAAACACTCACGCCCACTATGTCTCTCTATCTTTCTCTCTCCCCTATGATGCGCGCTGATCTTGGAGTTGGCGGAATTAAAGGCGGAGCGTGTGTGAGTGTGTTCGAGAGTGGGAGTGAGTGAGTGAGAGGGATAGAGATGTAATGCAGATTTTATCAGCTGTACTGTTGTGATTTGTTTCTGCATTATTAATAGCGTTGGACCAAAGAGCACGCACCAACGAATGCATTAATGGATTTAGAAAAAAATTTAAATGAATACAATATTAAACCCTGACAAATGCCGGTGTAAGTCCACAGTTTAATGCTTTCTCAGGTTCAAATGTGTCCCCTTTTCGCTTTCTGCCTCACAAGAAATGCTAAAGTTATTATTTAAAAAGGTCAGTTTAGCTGATTTTACACATAAAACTCGGTTTACAAATCTTGGGGAGGACTACTGCAAAAAAATAATAATAGAAAAACAAGTGGTATACAATAAAGCCTTTTGTGGCTCCAGAGGAAGTTGAGCATACTCTGATAAATTGAGGCTAAAGACTACATTAGCCACTCACATAGCACACTTGACTCCCCAACCGAACCATGGCGCCTCATATGAAGAATGGCTGAAATGCTGCATCGATTTAAAGTTCTCTTTTTAGGGTCAAAGAGCAGGAAGTGTGACAAGTTTGTCTTTTTTTATTTATTTATTTAATCACCAAACACTCTGATGTAAATCTTGATCAGCTGGTATTAATTGATGTTATCATAATTATAGTACATTGGTGAGACAATGGTGAGAACCAGAACCTGAGATGGTTAAAATCATTTTCACACACCATTGTGTTGTACATTAGCAAAAAAAGAGCAGCAATAACCTCTCTACTCCATCAGGAGTCCTTTCTGAAACAAGTGTGACTTCTGTGAACAAGTATATTCTTCTTAGAGCATGCTTGTTCACTGACAGCTGGATTCTCTGGCGTCAACTACAGCGATATTAAGAGTTTGACTGCAGCCACTCCTTGAGGGATGATCTGTCCGAGATCCTCCAAAGATCTGAGAGAAGTTTCTTATTCTTCCTAGAGAGACAAAAACAAAAACAAGAAAATGTTGCTTAAACAAAATATTGTATATAAAACTACTATATCCTCACATGGCCTTGTACGTGTTGAGGATAAATACATTCACACACAGCTGTGTGAGAATACAATAAAATCCCTGTTCTTAACCTCCGACCAGCAACTCAACTGCTCTGTGTACCATTATTGTGTACTCAGCATGGCTTCGCTCCAACAAAGGACAAACATTTCATATAGGGAGGATTACAGTGATGGAGAGGTATGGCTCTGTGTGTGTGTGTGTGCTGACATATATTTCATATGGTGAGGATTACTTAGGAAGAGACTAAGCAGCATTCAACTCCCAACTGGCTGTCTGTTACAGAGGGAGGAGATGCCGTGTACAAATTTACAGACAGAAGACTGTATTTGGAGAGAGTGCAATATGCTGAGAATTTGACAGCAAAAGACTAAGAATTTGCCGTATTTCCGCTTCCTAACTCAATTGTAAGCTGAACATCTCTGCACTGACAGTTTATGGTTCATCCTAATAGAAAAACCTGTCTACATCAGCATAAAAAAACATATATTTTCTCTTCTTTCCCTACTACTGTGCTCTTGTGCATTCATCTTAATAAATACAAATAAATTAGCCAAGGGGAAAACTTTATAACATAAACCTGCTTGTAGGTCTTGCTTTCTTCTGTGAGACTCCTTGATCTCATAAACTCTTTGCTGCACCAGTAATCTGCACCCAGTCTGATTTTCCAGGAATATTGGTACATTTTCTGGTTCAGACATGTTAGCACAAGAATCAAGTCAAGTTCATTTGAGTGTTAAAGCTTAAATAAACGCTGCCTTGAATTTTATTTCTTCATGACACACGTTTGGTTCTTGGCTCCATTAGTGCTTAACACAATCAAAAAACTCTCCAAAATAACAGGAACAGGATATTTTGTGATTTATGAGAAGGTTTAAAGCAGTATTTAGTGTTTCACTTCCATAAAATTGTGAGACTTGTAAGAGACAGATTAACAAAGAAAAATTAAGATAAAAATCAAAGCATCAGAGGCAGAGATATTCAGACTTTTAGTACTTAATATGGGTCAGGCCCCAAAAATACTGGATCCTACATTT